AGTTTTTTAAAGCCCCCCCGGAAAAAAAAAAAAAAAAAAAAAGCCAGGGAGGGGAATAAAAGGAAATTTGGTCGGAGAGCAGCGGAGAAAGTCGATTTGCTGCCTATTGAAATGGGCCTGTGTCTGTGGTGAATCGGTGGAAACCTTTAACAACTTTATTCTAATAATGGTTCTTTAAGAGTCCTCCGTCAGTATTTTCTGTTCTACCTGTGGACATCCAGTAATAATACTGCTCGTCCCTTGAAATGCTTTGAGATCTATGGCTGAAATGACTTACCTAAAAAGTGAATTGCTGTAAATTTAAGCAGTTCTCATTCTAGAAAGGTCAATTTCCCTGATTTTTTTACTTTGTTGCTGTATGGGTTTATCTAAATACTACTGTGCTGGGGTATCCACACACCAAATGAAAAGGTAGCATTAGCATGAAGGGGGGTTGCTTCTCAATTACAATAAAAAAGGGGAAGGATAATGCTGTAACTGTTTACATTGTGTTTTAGGAAATTCCTGTTATGCCAAATGTCTGTATTTATTTTTCTTACCAGTTCTGCAGCATGCAAAGTCAGTTTAGTGCTGCTCACAGCCCATCTAGTAGGTCAGAGTAGCTCTAAATGCATCTGATTTAAGTTCAAATAAGCAATGCTTTTTTTTCTGCAAGGCTGTATTTTAGCCATTCTGAACAAACATCTACCCTAACTCCTCCTCTCCACTGGCTTTTGTTTGTTTTAAGGTGTTTCCAAAACCACCTACGTGTTACAGGGAGTTTTAATTCTGAAACCCGGATCTAACATCCTAGTTGAGTATGCGACAGTTGCAGTCACCACTAGAAATAAAACCTGCTTAGCTAAAACTGCAGTGATATCTCTGGAAAAGCTGACCAATGGTCAAGACAAAAACTTTGGTGAGTCCAGCTGTAAAAAGTTCTCTTCTAATACTTTGGTAATATTCAGAACTTATTTTTTCTATTTGTTGTGAAGTCAAGAACTATGGACAGAAAGAGAATCCACAGATATAAATATACTTTGTATCTTTAGGTTCCTTTTTCTGGAACTTTCCAATGATACTTTTTAAATAAAGTAACGTATTTTTAATTATTACAGGTAGTCTTCCATGGATAATAAAATTGTTCCTTACAAGTTTTATGAACAGCGTTGATGCAGTGGCTAGCAAATATGACTCAGTGGAGGAAGAGGAAAAAGAAACTGGAAATGAATATTCTTTCTCTTCAACTGCCTGGGCATTATGGAAGAGTACTTTTCCAAGGAAAGGGTGAGTTACCATCAGTGGATATGCACTGCTGACTAAAAAAAAAGTAATCTAACACATCAACTAAAAATTCTGCATTAAGAAAATGAAACGCTTTCACTGTACGTTTTAATACTGCGAGATAACAAATACTTTCTTGGAGTGTATACCATGTTAGGATCCTATTTTCTGTTTGTTTTTTTTTTTTTTTTTTCTTGTTTTTCTCCCTGGGTTGCACCATCGTAACAGCTGCAAGACATTTCTTGAAGTTTAGAGCATTGGATTGAGTCATTATGTAAGAAAATGTAATTGTGCTAATGAGCGATTAAAAATACTGTATAACTCCTATTTGTAGTGAACTTTAAGAATAGTATACTTTCCTACTTCCTTTTTCTTCCGTCTTCCCTTTTAAGTGTCTTTAAGTGTCAGTTGCCTTTTTTTCTGTTGTTGTCTGTAGTTTATCCACAGTTCTGACTTTGGGTCTTGCCTCTTTTTAGTGTAACTTTCTGGAAATGTGTCACAGAGTATTTGAGTACTTTTGAAATTACAACACTGAATTGTTTTCTGAGCATCTGTTTGAAGTTTGCCCTGCTGTGTTTTGGTTTGTTTTTTTTACAAACTGAGGATGCTAGTTGCCCTTGGCAAGTTCCTGATTAATACTCCCACAACTGGCAGTGAGTTTTGTTGACGTGGAAATTTAAAATCCCTCCCTTTAAGTTCTGCTGTTGTTTACCTGCTCGTGTTTTTAGACTGAAGAGGACCGTCAAACAATACTGGAGATAGTAACAGTACAGAAATTCTATCATAATTACATTTGATGTATAAGAAAAGAGGATAAGGATGTTTCAGTCATTTATATTTGGTTGGTGGTCATAGCGTGTTTTCAGAGTTGCAGCGAAGGAGGACGTGGTAGTCAGCAGAATGTTTTTCAGTCCTCCCCCACGTCCAGATTGGTTGCACTGAGATCTCTCTGGACAGACAGAGGTTTGTTCTTTTATAGCAGGCTTGTTCAAAAGGATTCTGAAGTGCCTGAAACCTAAGCATCACTGTAACTTGGGGTGGGGGAAGATAACCACAGCAACAGAAACACTGAGCAAAACTGTATGGTTATGGCTATGTGAAAGTTATTGTGTGGACAGTAAATAAACGTGCTGTATTTCTAAATATATATAAATACGAGATAAAAGTATTGCCTCAGGCTAAAAACCACCAGCAACATAATGTCACTATTTTTTCCTAGGCAGTCTGAAGAAACGGTCTTCCAGACTAAAAAGTTGCCGTAAGCACCCCTGGTGGAAGGCGGGCAACAAGCAGGGCGAACTCACGGACTCCCCAGGAGCCCGGCTGGCTTGGTCCCGAGGATTTCCCCGAACGGCCCTTCGCAGGCAGGGAGCAGAGCAGGAGCGGAGCGGTACGTCCGCAGGCGCGGCTCAGGGCGGCTTCGGTAGCTGCGGGCGCTGGCGGAGGCCACGGGGTGGAAAAGGCGAAACTCCCCCGGGGGCCGGGGCGCCTCCTTTCCCGAACGGCTGTAAGGGGGAGACCGATACAAAATCTGCAAGCCGGGGAGGGAAGGAAACACACGCACAGGCGGGCAGGAGCCGCCAGGGCGGTGAAGCGAAGGTCAGCGCCGCAGGACGACTGACGGCGGGCCCCTC